ATCTTCCCCATCCTCCCATGAGGCAAGTAGTGTATTATTATCTCCATTTTACAGATAAGAAGACTGAGGCTCGTAAATACAGACACAAATACACAGTAAGTTAAGTATTAAAGATAGGATGTGAACTCAGTTTCTCCAACTCCAAATCCATCATTTTTCCCACTCCAATGAGTACTGGAAATTGCAGAATAGTCCCTGATATGGCTCCATTCAAGGCTCCAAAGCCACTGCTGTCAGCCAGAGGCAAAATGTACATCACGTCTAAGTATCTTCATCCTAAGATACCGTAGCAACTAGCCTGCTTTGGAAACCCTGTAGATATTCTGAGTGGACAGAGCTCAGAAAGAATTCCATCCATTTCTGGCCTCTCACAGGCCACCGTAGCCCTGAGAGATGAAAACAAAATGGCAGCCATTAGTACCCAGATCAGTCCAAATCAGAGGAACTGGGGACAGAGGAAAACATCAGAAGAAAACAAGCTGAGGCTCTAGAAGTCACCCAAGGACGAAAACCCCAGTGGCATTTTCACTCATCAGATGGATGGGTCCTGCCATTAAAGGGGGTTGAGCTGACTGTGTTACCTGGAAGCTAAAGGAAGAGAGAAATTTCATGGAGAGAGAGAGAGGCTGGAGGGCCCTGCCATTAGTTCACATGATCTCCAGAAATGCTGTTTTCTTTTTTTTTTTAATTTTTATTTATTTTTAACATTTTTTTTTTTACATTTGGAGCTCCAAATTCTCTCCCCTTCCCTGGAACCCCTCCCTTACCCATTGAGAAGGCAAGCAATATGATATTGATTATACATGTGAAGATGCACAAAACAGATTTCCATATTAACCACATTGCAAAAAAAAAAAAGAGAGAACGAGAGAAAGAAAGTAAAGAAAGTAAAAGGAAGTCTGCTTCAATCTGTACTGAGAGTTCATCAGTTCTCTCATGGGTCCTTTGGAATTGTCTTGGATTGTTGTATCAATTAGAGTGAAATGCTACATTTTCTTCATTCTGATTAAAAACCATATGATATACCTCTGGCCTTTCACTGGAAAAGTGGGAAGAATATGGGTGCTGAATGCTACATACAGTGTCAGCCATGTTTGCTCTGTCTGCTGTGTGTGTCTGCAGATTTTGTTCAACTTTTTTTCCATTATGAGGAAAGGCACACTGGGTGGAGGTTGGAGGGGGCTGGGGGATATATCCAAAAAAGGGTGTGAGGGGAAAACAAAAGACATCCCAAAAACTTTGAAAAAAAGTAACTGCTTCAGATGAAATAGCACTGGCATCTAGCATGGCCCTTGTGTTCAATTCATAAGAGTATTAGGCCCCTGATTGGGGGGGAGGGGTGGGATTACAGGCACTTCCCTTTGTTTTGCATGTTGGATGATCCAGGCCTACTGGTGATTCCACCTGCTTCATAATGTATTTTGAGTAATCTATTTTGCTCTCAGAAACCTAAGAACAGAAATATCAAAATACTGACCTGTATTTTAAGGCTGTTACCTATGTCTCTTTAAAAACAAATCCACACTACAATTCTAAATTGTTTTTCTGGATGCCACATTCTCTTTAAAGGTAAAATCTTAAGCACATTGATGACAGTTCATTTTTTCTTTTCTTTTTTTTTATAACATAAAAGAGCATAAATAGCATTTGAGATGTAGCTATGGGTCACTTTGAGGCCTGAACCCATAAGAAACCATCAAAGTTGACCAGGGAGACCCAGCGGTGGGAAATTCCCCTGTCATCAAGTGGGTCTGGGGGAACTGAGAGAGGAACAGAAGGGATGGGGGACATGTATCATGTAGAGGTAGAGGACTGGAGAGATAGGTGTCAGCCACATTGTGAATAGGGGCAGTGTGTGTGTGTGTGTGTGTGTGTGTGTGTGTGTGTGTGTGTGCGTGTGTGTGTTGTGTGTGTGTGTGTGTGTGTGTGTGTGTGTGTGTGTGTGTGTGTGTGTGTGTGGTGTGTGTCTGTGTGTGTTAGATGCAAAAGGTGAGTGGAGGGAAGAGGGAAAAATCAGAGTATGAGGAAAAAGGAGAGGAGAAACAGTGTTAAAGAAAGATGGCGGAGAGTATGTTCTTATAATCACAGAATCATATTATCATAAATTAAGAGGTGGAAAGGACCCTAGAGATCTCCAAGTCCAACTCCATCATTTTACAAATGTTGAAACTGAGGCAAGTGACTTACCCAAGTTCACACAGATTCACACAGAGCTGGGATTCAAACTCGGAGCCTTGGCCCCTAAATCTAGTGCTTTCCCACTGCATGATGCTCAGCACCGCTGAGGCTGAGGCTCCAAGGTGGGTTCGAGCCGAGGTGGAGGGGAAGGGGGCAGGGAATGGTAAGAAAGGGCCAGTGGTGCAGAGTGAACATCCCTCTCCTGCCCAGGGGAGGGTGGGTGAGGAGGGGCCAGCGCTGTAGGCCCGACCTGGATGATGTCCATCCGAGCTCAGATCTGAGCCACATCAGCAGGCCCAGCTAGGGGTAGGGGAGGGGGAGGGGGCAGAGAGGGAGCACTTAGTCTTTCCTCTACCTCTGGGGGGGACAGAATCTCCTCATTGAACCTCACCAGAATGCCTGGGCCCCGACAATTTCGTCTTTGTCCATTTTTCAGGGGCTCTTTGCAGGGTCTCTTTCTTTCTCCTGGCCTTGAGGTTTTCAGGGTGGTGGGTGTGAAATGTCTCTAGGTATTAGTAAGAGATCCTTATATAGCACAGTGCTGAACCCTGTGGGACCAGGCCAACTCACCACCCTAAAGCCTCTCATTTGTCATCTCAACACTTCAACTCTTGCTAAGCCGAGGGATTCAATTTACACGTCTTCAATGCTTCAAAGATCTCTCATGGGCTGGGGGGAATGGGGGAAGGAACACCTCCCCCTCCAGTCCAGATCACAGCCCCCTTTTGACTTTGGAGACAGTCTTTGACATTCACGGAATCACAGGATTTCAGAGCTGGAAGCGTCCTCAGAGGCAAAAGAGCCCAATGTGCGCTAGAATAAAAATCCTCACTACGATCCCCCCCCAACAAGTGGTCATCCAGCATTTGCTTGAAGGGTCACAGAATCCTGCATCTTGAGCTAAAAGGGACCTCAGAGGCCATCTTGGCTAAAGGTCACAAGCAACAGTGTCAGAGGTGGGATTTGAGCCCAGGTCCTCAGACCCCAGAGCCACACTGTTACCCTTTCTACACTGGGACCTGCCCTAATCATTATGAAACAAACTCTCCCTTACATCAAGAAGTCGATTCGCCAGCTTTTCTGTGCCATCTTTTCCTTTTGCCACACTCCAGAACTGCACCCATCATTTTGACCTTCTTATGCCCTCTGATCCCACAACTCCCCCTCTCTCATCTGTTTTTTTTTAATGTATTTTTTTTCAATTAACGAAAATCTATTTTCTTTCCCACCTCCCTTTCCTCAGTGGAGAAAAAAAGAAAAACTAAAGTTTTGTAATAAATATGCAGTCAAGGAAAATAAAATCAATGGGGCAGTGGATAGAGCACCAGCCCTGGATTCAGGAGGACCTGAGTTCAAATCCGGCCTCAGACAAATAACACTTACCAGCTGTGTGACTCTGGGCAAGTCACTTAAGCCCACTGTCTAACCAAAACAAAAGAAACAAAAAAAAAAGGAGAATAAAATCGCACATTGGCTACGTCCAAAAAACGCATGCCTAATTCTGTACACTGGGTCTACCCCCTCTTCGTCAGAAGGTGGGCAGCCTGTTTCACCTTGAGTCTTCTGGAATTGTGGTTCGTCACTGTGTTGATCAGAGACCTTAAGCCTTTCAGGGTCATTTGTTGTCCTCATATAAACTGTTCTCCTGGCTCTGCTCACTCTGCACAAGTTGAGCCAAGCTTTCCCAGGTTTCTCCGAAACCATCCCCTTCACGATTTCTTACAACACAACAGTATTTCATCACGTTCCTACACCATCATTTGTTCAGCCATTCCCCAATTTATAGGCACCTCCTAAGCTTCCAGTACTGCTTGCCCAGTCACCTGCTTCTCTTCTAATCTTAGCTTCACTGTTTGTTTGCCAAAACAACTGGAATTTTATGTAATCCAAAGCACACATTTTATGTTCCGCAATCCTCGGATCATTCCCCTAGCCACAGATCCTAAAGGTAATTTCTTCCTTGGTCCTCTAATTTGTGGTATCATCTTTTATGTCTAAGTCATGTACCTATTTGGAGCTTATCTTAGTATATAGGGTCTTAGACATTTGCTTTCTTTTTTTTTTTTTTAACAAAAACCACATTTGTTTTTCTCACAAAATTGGGTGGCTGTATTGCAAGAATAAAACTGGATCATATACACAGGATCAGATGAAAAAAAAAGTCACCACATGGTTATTTATACAGATACATAGCAGTATTAAGAATTCAGGTACTTGGTAGGACCATCACCAGTATAGTAAAAAATAACTCTACCTGGATCTTTAAAATTTGAAAGTGTTTACCCTAACACCCTGAGGTTACACGTCTAATCCTACTTTCCGCCACACAGATATCTAGGTTTCCTGGCAGTTTTTGCCCAGTAGTGAGTTCTTCCCCCAGTAGCTGGGGCTCTCCCATCCTTCTCAAATGTTCCAAGTGCTCTTGGACTCTCTTTTCTGCACCTGCCTCTTTGGTCATTCTCCCTACCTCATTTTGGGGCTTGGTATAAGACTATATTTATAATTATACGATGCTCCTATGGAGCACTAGCCTCCAGGTAAGATTCACTAAGTAGAAGGAAATAAGACAAGGGGGATAAGGGTAGGGCAGATCAGAGTCAGGGAGAGAAGAGGCAGGACTGCCTTGGTTTCAGAAGTAGAAGCAAAGTGAGTGACTAAAGGGGTCGCAGAGAGAGGAGCCATCCCCCTGCAGCTAACCTGGCAATGAATCTGTCAGAACTCGCTGGGCCAGTCCCTGGACAAAACGCGCAGTTCACTGCTGGGACCGTCTGACTTACACAGATGAAATCAGGCACATATTAACTGAACATGTGAAGACTCACCATACTGTAGTAATTCTTGGTAAGCTGAAGAGTATCCAGTCCTTTTACGGTCTTTGGGGAGCCAGGTTTCTCTGTGAAAAATACAATTAAATGATTGAAGGAGAGACACAATCCTTTTACATCCTTAAAGTCATTGAGAGGCTATAAAAGGTTGACATCTAGAGCGAGCAATAAGAAATAGACATTCTTTTTTTATTTTTAAGTCACATTGAGGAACTTTATTTGAATGTTTTCTTTTTTTGCATTTTTAAAATTAATTTATTTTGAATTATCAACAATCACTTCCATAAGCTTCTGAGCTTTAAATTTTTTTCCCTCTCCCTCCCCAAGATATTGCACAATCTGATATAAGCTATACATTCCTATTAAACATATTTTCACATTAGTGATGTTGTAAGGAAGAATTAGAACCAATAGGAGAAACCACCAGAAAGAGGAAACAAAACAAAACAGAAGAAAACAACAGCAAATAGTATGCTTCGATCTGCATTGAAACTCCATAGTTCTTTCTCTGGCTGTGGATAGCATTTTCCATCATGAGACTTTTGGAGATGTCTTAGATCCTTGCATTGCTGAGAAGGGCTAATTCTATCAAAGTTAGTCATCACACAACGTGGCTGTTACTGTGTACAACGTTCTCCTGGTTCTGATCACTTCACTCAGCATCCGTTCATATAAGTCTTTCCAGGTTTTTCTGAAGTCAGCCAGTTTATCATTTCTTATAGCACAACAGTATTCCACCACAATCATATACCACAACTTGTTCAGCCATTCCCCAATGGATGGGCATCCCCTTAATTTCCAATTCTTTGACACCACAAAAAGAGCTGCTATAAATATTTTTGTACATGTGGGTGCTTTTCCCATTCGTATGATCTCTCTGGGATATAGTCCTAGAAGTGCTTTGCTGGGACAAAGGGTATGCACATTTTTGTAGCCCTTTGGGCATAGTTCCAAATTGCTCTCCCAAAATGGTTGGATCACTTCACAACTCCACCAACAATGCCTTAGTGTTCCCATTTTCCCACATCTTCTCCAACATTTATCATTGTCCTGTCTTGTCACATTAGCCAATCTGATAGGTGTGAGGTGGTACCTCAAATTGGTTTTAATTTGCATTTCTCTAATCAATAGTGATTTACAGCATTTTTTCATATGACTATAGATGGCTTTAACTTCTTCATCTGAGAACTGCCTGTTCATGTCCTTTGACCGTTTCTCAATTGGGGAATGACTTGTATTCTTATAAATTTGACTTAATTCTCTGTATATTTTAGAAATGAGGCCCTTATCAGAGACACTGGTTGTAAAAATTCTTTCCCAATTTTCTACTTTCCTTCTAATCTTGGTTGCACTGGCTTTGTGTGTAAAAACTTTTCAATTTAGTGTAATCAAAGTTATCCATGTTGCTTTTGATAATGTTCTCTATCTCCTGTTTGGGCATGAATTCTTCTGTTCTCCATAAATCTGATCGGTAAACTATTCCTTGCTCTCCCAGTCTGCTTATAGTGTCAGCCTTTATATCTAAATTATGAACTCATTTTGACTTTACTTTGGGATATGGTGTGAGATTTTGATCTATGCCCAGTTTCTGCCATACTCTTTTCCAGTTTTGCCAGCAGTTTTTGTCAAACAGTGGGTTCTTATCCCAGAAGCTGGGGTCTTTGGGTTTATCAAATAATAGATTACTATAGTCATTGACTACTGTGTCTTACATACTTAACCTATTCCAGTGATCCACCACTCTATTTCTTAGCCAGTACCAATGGCTGCTTTATGATTGCTGCTTTATAATACAATTTAAGATCTGGAATGGCTAGGCCACCTTCCCCAGCAAAAAACAGACATGCTTAAGGAAGCCTGACCTTAACTTTAATGAATCAGAATTACAGAGCTGGAGGAGACCTTAGTGAACTTGTCCAGGAATGAGGCCTTCATGTTGGAGGTCAGGAGACTGGTCCAAGTTCCCACAGCTAGTTAGTGGCAGATCTGGGCCTAGAATCCCAGGTTTCCTGACTCCCAGCTCAGAACTTTCAATGGCAGATATACAGTCTCTCAATTCCATTCAAATAAAATGTACAAAAGAAGCAAAAACATTAGAAGTGGTGTTATTCTTCACAATTTGCCACTGAGATCCCCAGCAATGTCTTGAGGATCTGAGATTTCACAGGTGTGGGCAACTCCCTCCAACGCAAATCACCAACCAATAGTGACAGGGAGGTAGCCTTGTTTGTTTATTCCCTGCCTTGCCCCCAGTCTCCCCACCCCACCACGGTTCACTGAAGCTGGCCTTCTTGTGCTCAGATCCAGGCTTTCATGTCTCTCCTGGGTCTCAGGGCAACAGGAAAAACATCAACAGAAAAGGAATTCTGGCCACCTGGTTTCTTGAAATCTCTTTGAATCTCAACAATTCTAAGTCTTTCTGTCTCTTCCTAGTGCTTCCTCAGAGCACCTGATGCCCAGAGAAGCTAAGAGACCAACTAAGTGGTCAATGCAAGGCCTGCACCTGGGTCTTCCTGACTCCCACCCAGTACAGGGCTCCAGCTACACCAGCACTCTGCCTCTCCAAGGCTGGTTTCTCTAAAGCTACAGAAATAGCAAGCAAAATAAAAAAATGTCCCTTTTGGGCTGAAGCCCAGATGAGACCTGGATCCGTAACTCACTGAGAACTGAGCACTTATTTATGCGTCTAGAAGGAAGAAAGCACTCTCCTTTACTTAGGATCTTCACATGTCATTTGGAATAGTCTCTCGAAGACATACTTTTTTTGGACAAAGTTAAACTTCGCTCCTATAAAATTCATTTCCATTTCTTTTTTTTCTTACAGGGGGGCTTTTTTATCGAGACATTTTGATACAATGGACACTTTCCAATAAAAACTCAAACAAGTCCCATACTCACAAAGTGCCCTTCTTGAAGAGAAGAGACCCTATCAAAGGTTGTGTGTCAATTTTCACTTTCCCAACTCACAACTGGTGCCTTTGCTTCTCAAACACAAAGTCCTGCCCTTTCGAAAGAGCCATTTCCTTGCAGAGGGGACAATTATGGTGGATGAACACTGGGGCTTTTTCAGTTAGCCTGCCTTGGATTTTCCCCTGTTGCTCTGAGGCTCTCCTACTCAGAGTTGAATTCTTGAAGAATCAACTTGGACATGGCTCCTTCTCATAGAATCACAGAGTCAGAAGAGACCTCAAGAACCATCTGGTTGAAGTCCCATGTTAAAAAAAAAACCACCCTCTTCAATGTAGCTGACAAGCAGACATCCAGCCTGGACCTGACAGAGGGGGAACTCACGGCCTCTCGAGGCAGCTAATGCCTCTTGGGACTGGCTCGCATTGGTGGGAAGCTTTGCCTCTTTACAGCCTCCCCCCGCTGATCCTGGTTCTTCCCTCTGGGACCGAAGAGAATGAGCAGAATCCCTCTGCTACGGGTAGCCTCTCTAACACATCCCCTGAGTCTTCAGGCTACACATCCCCAGTTCTTTCGACCTATCCTCAAAAGGCCCAGAATCAGGGCCCTTTGCCAAGCTGACTGCCATCCTGCGGAAGCCCTCCAGCTTATCAATGTTCTTCCTAAAATCTGGTAGCCAGAACTAAAGCCAATACTCCAGGCACAGTCTGATGAAGGCAAAGTAATGGAGAACCTTCCTGTGTCCAGTCATCAGAGGGCCCAAGAGGGCACGGGCTTTTTGGCTGCCGTACCCACCGTGGCCACAGACTGAGCTTGCTGCCCCAAATTCTCCCGACCTTTTTCAGACAAACTGCTCTCTAAGCTTGCCCTGCCTCCCGCTGCCTTTTGGATTCACACTAGCCTGATTTTTCTCAAGGATGGCCAAGGTGGTTTCATTCATTCTTGGCTTTTTGGTGGTGATATGATACAATCCAGAATCCTGTCCTCTCCCCTCTGCACCTACAGGTCAATACAAGACCCCCAGAGTATTCCACCAAAATCGGTCCTCAGAGGAGGGAGCAGTAGCATTACCAAGCCTACGACCCAGGAGAGAAGGGGAAGATGGGCAGGAATGTCAGTCAGTTGAGTCAACAAGCACTTATTAAGCATTTAATATGTGCCAGCCACTGTGCTCTGCACTGAGGATGCAAAGAAAGGCCAAAATATGGCCCCTGCCCTCAAGGAGCTCACATTCTAATGGAGGAGACAACACGTAAATAACTAGGCACATACAAGATGTAGACACAGTAGATGGAAGGTAATCTTAAAGGGAGACACTGAGAAGGGTCTCCTGCAGAAAGGAGGGTGGGGCACAGCCAGGGCAAAGGTGTGGAGGTGAGAGATGGGAACATTGTGTAGACTAGTGTAGCTGGAGCACGTAGAGGGAGAACAGTCCATAAGGACTGTTAGGGTAGGTAAGACGATGAGGAGCTCTAAGTACCCAACAGAGGAACAGACAGTCATGCTTTGAGTTGAGTGCAGCGTGGCATAACGGACGGAGCACTGAGTCTGGAGCCAGAAAGAACTAAGTTCAAATTCCGCCTCAAACATTTAGCAGCCACGCAATCCCTGGTGAGCGAGCTGCAGTTTCCTCATCTATAACGTGAGGATAACAACACCACACACCTGTCCTGCCGAGGCCGCAGACCACAGAATGAGATGCTGAAATGTCCGAGCTGGGTGATGCCTTACAACTCAGCCCTTCATTTTTCTGATGAGGAAACAGAGGCCCGCAGAGGAGAAGGGATCAGCGCAACGTCAGAAAGGGCGAGATTCCAGATCTTTTGGACTCCAATGAGAGTCTGGGCCTCTTTGGGCTATATCGCATGATGATTTATCTTGTCTCCCTCCTCACTCCCCACTCCACACCTACTGACAGTTTGCAGCTACGTGGAGCTGCAGTGGATAGAGCACCGGGCCTGGAGTCAGGAAGACCTGAGTTCAAATTCAGCCTCGGAGGCTTACTAGCTGTGTGACCCTGAGCAAGTCACTGAACCTGTTTGCCTCAGTTTCCTCATCTGTAAAATGGGGATCATAACAGCACCTTCCTCTCAGGGTCTGTGACAGAGTTGTGAGGATTAGACGGTGCCTGGCACATATTTAATGCTAAACAAATGACAGT